ATGGATGGAGGATGGAGGATGGATGGATGGAGGATGGATGGATGGATGGAGGATGGATGGATGGAGGATGAATGGATGGAGGATGGAGGATGGATGGATGGAGGATGGATGGAGGATGGATGGATGGATGGAGGATGGATGGATGGATGGAGGATGGATGGAGGATGGATGGAAGGATGGATGGAAGGATGGATGGAGAATGGAGGATGGATGGATGGATGGAGTATGAATGGATGGATGGATGGATAGAGGATGGAAGGATGGATGGAGGATGGAGGATGGATGGATGGAGGATGGATGGATGGATGGAGGATGGATGGATGGAGGATGAATGGATGGATGGATGGATAGAGGATGGAAGGATGGATGGAGGATGGAGGATGGATGGATGGAGGATGAATGGATGGATGGATGGAGGATAGATGTATGCATCGAGGATGGAGGGATACACGCATGCATGCATGCATGAGGTATGGATGTACACAAATACAGTGGATGGTGGGTGGAGGGCGGGTGGACAGGCAGTTGTTTGTGAGGTAACTTTTGCGTGAGGCACTGAGTGCACTTAAGTGTTTTATGTTCTGTGGTCTCATATGTCCTTCCAGGCTCCCAACAGGACAGAACTCACATGCATCAAGTGAAAGTGAGGCTCTCGTACCTCGTGCAGTGGTACAGGTTTGGAGGCCCAGAGCTGGGCTGTGGGTCCAGCTGGTGTTTGAGATCTCTGAATGCTTCTCAGCATAAAAGAAGTCCCACCCCCAAACAAAACCTCACAAAACTCCAAGGACCATGCCCCAGCCACGCTGTGCACGCAGCAGCCACCTCGCCAGCCTTTCCCGACAGGGCTCAGCTCTGTGCAGCTGCCAGACTGTGGAGGTGCCCAGTGGTGGCCGCTGTGCTAAGTGCCTTTGAGAACCCCGGAGCTGGTGTACAGGAAGAGGCTCTGCACCCCCAGGCTCCCACAACAGTGCTTCACGGAGTCATCCCTGTCCAGCAGCCTCAGGGAGGGCCAGTGTGCCCTGCCCGTCTCTGCCGAGGATTGAGAGGAGGCCCGGGAGAGCTTTGTCCCCAACCTTGGGGAAGGGTGGCCAGGCTTTCGGACAATGACCCCTGTAGAGCAAACGGGCCTGGGAAAGGACTCGTGGCCAGAGGCAGATGTGAGCAGGGTGAGGCAACGCCCAGGCTCCACCCAGCCAGAAGGGAGCAGCACCTACTTCCATCTGTCTCCTCGGAAGGAAGGTCGGTGTCCTCGTTCTTGTCGTCTACTGGAGGTTCTTGGGAAGGCATGACAGAATCCTGGCAGAGAGACGGGGGGATGGCAGTGTGACTGGGTGCTGGAGCAGGGTCACAATGCAGCTTCTGTAAATACTTTGTGACTTTTTGTAATTAAAAAAAATTTTACAGACAGGGTCACACTTTGTCATCGTCCAGGCTGGAGTGCAGTGGCACGATCACGGCTCATGGTAGCTTCAACCTCCTGAGGTCAAGCAATCCTCCCGCCTCAGCTTCCAGAGTAGTTGGGACTACAGGTGTGCACCACCACACCCGGCTAATTTTTGTATTTTTTGTAGAGATGGGGTCTCACCATATTGCCCAGGCTGGTCTTGAACTCCTGGCCTCAAGTGATCCTCCCACCCTGGGCCCCCAAACTTGGGATTACAGGTGTGGGCCACCGCATCTGGCCACTTCAAAACTTTCTATGATTTACGTATTTACATACTACAATGCGTATATTGTAACACAGTGCATAAGAACATAATTGTGGCCGGGCGTGGTGGCTCATGCCTGTAATCCAAGAACTTTAGAGGCCAAGGTGGGCGGATTACCTGAGGTCAGGAGTTCAAGACCAGCCTGACCAAGATGGTGAAACCCCGTCTTAAAAAA